GTTGATGTAAATATCATAGAAGAGTGTAATTGTCTTTAGGACAGCGTTTTTTTAGTTATGACATTCGTGTTTCTTTACATAATATGTAATTGTTGTGCTGTATGTGTGTCTATAGTTTTGTTCAATGTTGTGTTAGTGTATGTAAGTAGTTTTGTCTGAAACTTTGTTCCCCCTGCTGCTGTTGGACCAGGTCTCTCTTGAAAAATAGATTTTATCTCAATGAGAAAAACCTGTATAAATAAAGGTTAAATAAAAATAAAATGCAGAGGGCATCATTTCAATCTTCAGCTTATGAGCACTGTCTGTTCCGTGTTTCTCTCCTCTCTCTGTGTGAGACTGCTTTAGTAAGCAGTTTTACTGCAGCAGCCAGTCGCATGCTGCTTTGGGGCCCACATTGTGCTGTCACAATCATCAATTCAACTAATGCAGAAACGGTGTCTAGGTGAGATTGAGGAGCAGGTGCTGGGAGCTGGAGTCATTACCCTGTGCTGATGAGATGTCACTGTTTCAGAGGTTTTGCTTTGCTATCTTGTTTTTCACTTCACTGAAGCACCCCAAATAATTTTGACCTGAATTCACCATTTTATCATCAGTAGCCTTTCTACTGTCGTGCAAGAGACTATTGTGAGTTAATCATATGTGACAAAATGAGTGAAGAACTTGTGTGAACACAGCAGAGCTTTTTAGGTGTACATTTGGGAACATGCTGCCATGCCTCATCTCGCATAGTACATTTTGGTGAGGATATAATGTCAGTTTAATAAATAACATGCCATTAATAAGCAAATAATGAAGAGTTCATTTTCATTGACAGGATGCCTGTGTGCGCTCAGCGAAAATGATTGGTGAATTATCTTCCCATATGAAGAGTGATTAGAAATTAGCCTTAATTTTTGTGTCTTCACGAGCACAGATAGCATGCAATTCTCCTCACAGACATGCAATTAATGAGCGTGACACACTACCTTATAAACGCGCACATGCATGCAAGCATACGAACACACATGCGCACGCACGCGAGTGCGTCATTTCACGCCCATAAGCGCAGACTCAGACACACCCCCTTATTCCTCCAAACGCTTCAGATAAACCATGAGGGCGCACTGAGGCACTGTTGACTGTGTTGTGGACAACATGAAGCACTAAACGTGAAGATGGCATGATTATTATAAAGACTGTATAAGATATGTAGTAAAGCTGCACCTAACAGGAGCCAAGGATTGATCATGTAGCCGACATATGATGGAAGTGGATCATTGGCGTGAAGGGTAAGATGAGATCCACTCCTATTTGATGATGGAATAAAAGGACATGTTTCAAAATTATTAGTTTTTCCTCTGAGTACGGCCACAACATTTTGGTCTATTTGAGCGTGTGATTACCTCTCCTACGATGATGTCATCGATGCTCAAATACATTGGGTCAGCAATGCCGTGCCGCATCAATAAACGAGGACAAAGTGTGCTTCAGATCTTGGTGTGCCAAAATCACACCTTTGAAAATAGAAAAGCTCAATGATAACTGTCCTTTCAAATGCAGCCATTGGATCAAATCATGACACTGTTACAATTGCGCATATTAGACCTATTGTAACGACGCATTTAACCAACAGTTGTCTGTGTGGATAAATTATTTACTTTCTTATCAATTGTTTAGAGGGAATTTGACAATTTGCGACAGGTACAGGTTGCCTATGTAGGTTAAGTTGGATTCGTTTGACATAGAGAGAGTGCATGAATGTGGCCCATCTAGCAGTCTATTGAAAACTAGCCTATTTGAATGTTTCAGTGTGTGCTGAGTGTATCCAGGCGACAGGGCATTTGGTATGTGAGTGTAGCCAATGTTATTTGCACTAGTTTACATTGTTAACGTGAAAGTGGTCCCTCTTGCCCCTTGAAGCACTTCTGTAGCCTACGGAAAAAGATTTGTGCTTAACTCAAGTCTCTCTTCTATCGCCGATATCTGCCTACATAATCATGAACAAGTATTAATATTGTGTATAGGCCTATGCATAAGCCAAATAAACCATGCATGTTGCCTACTCTGTATACTGAAGACATTACTGTCAGGTAAATGGCTATTTTCTCCAGATTGCCATGATTTCCTAATTTTCAAATGAGACAATGCAAACAGAGTAGGGCTATCACGATTCAGCCATATAATGTTAATTCTGATATCTGGATTTCAGCAACATCAAGAGACAAAAAGTTACACATTCCAGAGATCCACCATAGTTCAGCTCAAAGGTGTGTTTTCTTATTTCATTAGCCTCTGGATAAATAGCCTTCTTAAACCAAAAAACATACAGTACAAAGGCCATAGGTATTGGACGCTGGGGCAGCTCCCAAAAGGGTATTTTAAAAAGTAGTTTATTTTGCATCAAACATTGCTCACATATCTCAATCTGCATCCTCTGTGACCTTTTATAAAAAATGCTGTCACTGATGACTTACCCTCTAAGAAGGACATTTAATGCCTTAGTCAGCATGAGAGCAAATCAGGCGACATTGTTTTGTTAGGCGATAGCATAATGGATTGCATAATGGTCGAAAGAGGGTATGATTGTACACACACACACACGTCTGCACTTCAATGTGAATGTTGTCAATTTACCTACTTTCTGAGTAATACTGTATATTATTTATTAATTCCATCCTCTTTGCTATTTTGGGTAGCATGGCTGACACAGATGTCAGATTGATTAGAGAATATTCATGTTTCAGTGACATTTCAGGGGTGGTCATCAATTAGACAGCGACCAATGTCATGAAAAATAAATACCCATAATAATAAAAAAATCTCTTGTCAAAAAAGATTTGGTTATGCTTCATCTTACAGTCTGCCACAATATTTACTAGGTATTTATTTCCTCAGAAATAACATTGTAAAATAGTAGTAACATAATAATAATACAATAATTATATTGTTGACATTAATTTAAACAAACACACCATTTCTAACTATTTTGATACCAGGTTGTTAGTTACCAATTGTGTTACACCCGACCCAATGGTGTAATATTTAAAAAGCACATATTTGCTTTATGTTGAAATCTGGTTTGAAAATTGTAATTACATGATGAATCAGTGACTGTAACCATGGTACATTATTTAATAGTATCTGTAGGTCTGGTAAGGTTATGATGCTTGTGTGTAGATGATATTTAGGTGTGTTGTGGAGACATGACGGCAGAGACGGTTGGTCAGAACTCTCTCCTCAGGATGAACAGATGGTATCTCAGGGTTAGCTCATGGGCGAGAGCCAACAAGGGTGCCTCTATGTTTGTCTCTCTGTCGTGAAAATATGCTTTAAAAGTCAAACGGAAAAGCATTACAAGCAAGGTCAATGTGCAAAAATATAGAAATGAATGCCAGTAAATGTTTGCACTATTTGAAACATGGATACTCAGATACTCCCTTATTCTTGGTTTTAAACAGAGACACATTATTTATATTCCATTTCTCCATATAAACAGTGGTCAACTATACCCCTTTGTTTATTACAATGTACTGTTGTTTAAGATATGAATGGCAAGCTATGTACTAGTGAAATACTCTGTGTGTACTGAGAGCTACTGTGCCACTGGATCTATTCTGTTCAAAATCTATTTATTGTGTGAAACAAAGAGTCAGTGATCCTGACTCTTGAAAACAAACCATTGGCATCTGACATAGCCTTTAATTATTTGGGGGGGATTGACTGTCGTCTACAATCAATGGAAAGGGACTTATTTACTGAGGAGTTGCCAGTCACTATTATACTTTTTGTATATATATGTTTGGGTCCTTACACAATCATTCCCAAAGTGCTTGAAACAAACCATTGAATTATTCAGTGTGGTTTAGTGACTCTCTTTCTCTAGAGTAAATTACAGATACAGATATCTGTACAGATACAGTTTTGCACTATTTTCATGACCAGACTTTGTATGCAAGATCCCATTAAGCCTAATTCTGATTTGCGATTACAATACAAAACTGATAAGTTACTACCTCTTAGAAATGCAGTACTTTCTTGAGGGGAACGTCCACAGTTTCAGTATTTGTTACTTTAATTGTTTCTATTTTTTTAAATGTCAATTTATGGGCCTTGTGTATATTAGTGCACTCTTAGAAAAAAGGGTTCCAAAGGGGTTCTTCGGCTGTTCCCAAAGGAGAACACTTTTTGTTTCCAGGTATAACCCTTTTTGGTTCCAGGTAGAACTATTTTTGTTCCATGTAAAACCCTCTGTGGAAAGGCTTTTACATGGAACCCAAAGGGGTTCTACCTGGATCCAAATAGTGTTCTTCAAAGTGTTCTCCTATGGGGACAGCAGAATTAACCCTTTTAGGTTCTAGATAGCACCATTTTTCTAAGAGTGTGTTGTGTTTCTCAAGTGTTGATCTTGTGCAAGATATGAATCTTAGATTTAGATACTGTGTAAAGTATCTTGGCAATATGATGGGCAGTAAAATCGAAATTTCCCACTCTCCTAAAATTAGAACAACCTTGTACGGCACACTGCAGAAAAGCACATCACAGCATGATACAATTAAATCCTTCATCTGTTTCTTCTCAAGCTGTGTGAAAATCCACAGATTACAGCCTCCAAGTTTAAGATGCTTTAGTAGATGTGAACTTTTCCTTATTTTCATTGGATCTGGAATTAAATAGGCCTACAGTATGGAAGAGGAAAGTACTGAATTAAATAATCATTTGATTATATATGTTGGTAATCTCTGTCATCATAACACGTTAATGTCTGTGTAGAACCACTGCTACATTTTCAAAGAACATTTGTGTATGTTTTACTGTGGATCTAAAATGCTTCTCTATCTTTATTTTCTCAGGTCATATTGATCTTGAATCAATCCGAATGGGGAGATCGGAGGAGTCCCTATAAGATGACACGCACAGATCCCCCTGATATACTGGTATCTACTCTGTATCGGGACATCAAACTAAATCCCATCACTGGGCACTCCATTTCTCTCAGCCCCTCCCAACAATGTGACTCACAAATGATTGACAAACTGGAGCGACACACGGAAACCATTAACAAAAGACACTGCCGTAGCTTTGACTTCCTTGAGTCATTGGACGACCCACAGCCCTTTTCTGCCTCAATGGAGTACCCTTACAAGAGGACTGAGCATCAGGGGGTGCATAAAGAGGTGACTTGGAATGGCCTGGATCATCCAGGACACCTCCGTTTCTCATCCCCTGATCTGTTCAACACTAGACTACCCCCACCACAGCATGCCAACGCAGACAAAACCAGTCAGACCACGAGGTCAGATTCTAAGAAGAGGACAAGATCGAAAAGTGCTCCCAGAGTCAATACCACCCTTACCCCTGTGCCCATGTCAGTCTCCCCACCAGCAACCAGGAGAGGAAGAGATGTCCCACAGGCTGTACCAGATCCCCCTCTAAGGACATCTGAACCACACCGGGACTCTTATTCCTCTAACCGGGCTTTTTTGAACGAGGTACACCCTATAAAACTGCAACCACACTCTCCCCTCTATGTCTCAGACGGTTTCTCTGAGGAGAGCAAACAGGATGAGCCAGCCATCACTCCTCATGTCAGGTGTCGTGTGGATATCAAGCCAGATGCAGCGGTCCTGCAGCACACAGCCAGGAGGTCTCAGAGCATGAGGACTGAACATCCCTGGCAGAGATACTCCTACTCCAGTCAAAGCAGAGGTCTGTCTGTGCCACGGCAGGTACGGACACCCACACCAAGCGACTGTTACAGTGGGGATTATAGACAAGCATATCAGTACACTACCTGCGTGCCCCCCAGCTACATTCAGCCAGTAGACATGCGAAGGGTCCCCTCCCCTATAATGCCAAGGGAATACTTGTCAAGGGAGCAGAGGACTCTTTCAAACCCCAATATACCCACTAAATTCTTCTACACTGAGGATCCGACCAGATACCCTGTCCACCCCTCTGCTAGAGGGTACTATCAGGATGATAATTCCAGCCTCACCAGCCAAGGCAGTACTCTTAATGGTCAGTATGTGCATGATCCAAGGACTCGCTGGGTTCACGCTGTCCCAGTCCGGCCATATTACACAGAGCAACACATGTCCAGCAGAGACCCTGTGCAGGCTGTCTATACCAGACCTTACTCCACAAGCGAGGCAGGGCCATACTTTGCTCAAACAAAACAGGCAAGAGCATACAATGGGGAAGAACCCAGGGGGTATCCCTGTCAGTCTAATGGCTCCAGGATGTTATACAGCAAGCCGTACAACCCCCCAGCAGAACAGTATATTCCGTACCGGGCATATCACACGGAGGGCCGTCGACGTCCACAAATGTCCCAAGCCTATGCAGATGACTGGTATCGTTCAAGTATATCTGGATACTCCAGCCAGTCCTCTCAGCTGACACCACAGAGAGTAAGACAAGAGCCAGTAATGTCCCCCTGGTTTGCAAACAGTTATGTGGAGCCAACCAGACTGGGAGCAGAAGTCAGAAACCACTCCAAGTCCTGGGACAATATTCTTCATCCTCGTCATGACAGGGAGCAAGCGGTGCCGTGTGGACGCAGCTATGAGAATCTGTTTTATCAGGGGACACATGCTCTGTTTCCTAGTGATACACCAAAGCCAGTTATACTCAATCTATCTAGTTCACCAAGGCGCTATGCTGCCCTGTCCCTCTCTGAAAACTCCTTAGAGAAAGGTCTAAACAATCCTGGAAGGAACACTAAGGCTGGGCTATGGTTTGTAACTCCTGAGATCACGATAACCGACAATGACATACGCGCACGCAACCACAAACAGCAAGATCTGCGTTCAGTCAGCTGGGATGCACTGGATTGTGAAAAGGTGCCAACTCTAAATGTTCTTCATCATCAAGAGCAGCCATCTGAGTCATCGGAACTGAACAAAGACAGAAAACACAAAGATTATTCCCTGCAGCAGAGCCTAGAGCAACTGGATGAGCTGCTAGCTGATCTTGTCATTGATTACAAACCCCTGACCAGCAGGCGGCCTAGTCAGGATCTATTGGACCAACTAAAACAGTTGATTAGTGAGGATGATGAAAAAGGAAAGCTAATATCTTCGGGCCTAGAGAGTCTAGGAGGCCTAGAGAGTCTAGGAACTCTGAACACACCAATCACCTCCACTAAAACCAGCCCTGACACCGTCAAAGACCCAGACAGTGGGTGTGATGGCTTACAGAGCATACAAAGGAGTCCAGAGGAGATCTCCCCAGACCACAGCACAGACGACGATGACACCATGATGTGTGCCAACAGGAAGTGCAAGCGGACAGAGACCCTGTTCAATGCCTGTCTTTACTTCAAATCCTGTCATAGTTGCTACACCTTCTACTGCTCCCGGAACTGCCGTCGGGACGACTGGGACAGCCATAAAGAGAACTGTCTGTATGGACGTATCAGCAGTGTGTGCAGGCACATGCTGAAGTACTGCAGAGAGAACTCTGAGATCCATAAAGCCTTCTCTCGCATTGCCAAAGCTGGCTACCTTTCCAGAGGGAGAGGCATTCTTTTCCTGGGCTTTGCTAACCCAGGGACTGCTGACAATTTCCTGAAGGTTGGGCTTGAGAGTCTTGTCATGTCCCCCACATATCTGTCTCTCAGAGAGCTAGACAGCTTCCAAGACAACCTGGGGGATTACTGTAAGGACCTGCAGCAGGCTGGCAATGAGTATGACCCCAATGAATGTTTCCTCTTGAATGTATCTATAGCTGTTGGTGAACTAGTGCCTAACAGACCCTCACCAAGAGTCCAAACACCAACAGTCCGAAAATATGCAAAGGTTTCATTGGCCTCCTCCAGCCCAGATAAAAAGGTCTTCAAGAAGGAAAGTGACATGGAGACACTCATTCTCACCCCGCCACCAGGCACACCTGATATTGACAAAGAGGGAAAGGAGGGTATGAAAGCCAGAGAGATCTGCTTTATCAATATCCAACGTGAGCTCAGGACCAGGGGAGTCTTCCTGCGTCATGAGTATCCCAAAATATACCATAAACTCTGTGAATTTGTGGAGAGCAACAAGAGATTCACGCCCACTACCATTTACCCTATAGATAAGAGAACAGGGAAGCAGTTCATGTGTATGATCATGGCTGCTTCTGAGCCCAGAACACTAGACTGGGTGGGCACCCCCCATCTCCTGGATGATATTATATAGTACTGACCTGTGCACCTCTGATGTCAACTATATGTACATGTATATACATGTGATTTAACAGATATTTATAGATTGATATGTATTTTACATCAGAAAGTAAGATTGTTAAAGGGATACTTTAGGATTTTGGCAGTGAAGCCCTTGATCTATTTCCCCATTATCACATGAACTCGTGGATACTATTTTTATGTCTCTGCGTGCAGTTTGAAGGAAGTTGCTAACTAGCATTAGCGCAATTACTAACTAGCGTTAGCGCAATTACATTTACATTTAAATCATTTAGCAGACACTCTTATCCAGAGTGACTTTTTAACTAGGGAAGTCAGTTAAGAACAAATTGTTATTTACAATGACGGCCTACCCGTGCCAAACCCGGACGATACTGGGCCAATTGTGCGCCGCCCTATGGGACTCCCAATCACGGCCGGATTGTGATACAGCCTGGAATCGAACCAGGGTCTGTAGTGACGCTTCTAGCACTGAGATGCAGTGCCTTAGACCGCTGCGTCACTCGGGAGCCCCATGTCTATGGAACTGCCAGCATGCTAGTAGATACCATAAACTTCCACTCATCGCGCTAACGCTAGTTAGCATTGGCTTGCGAAACTACATCTAACTTCCTTCAAACTGGATGCAGAGACATAAAAATGGTATCCATGAGTTCATCTGACTCTGGGGAAGTAGATAAAGGGCTTCATTGCCAAAATCCCGAAGTATCCCTTTAATAAGACTACCAGAACTAATGCTTGCATATTAATCACTAAGAATTAGATATCATTTAGAAGTGGTTCATACAAACAATGTGCAGGAAAGGGTTGACTGACGTTGCACACACAAACAAACTATAATGTAACACTTTATCATTGTTGTTTTTGGTTGCAGTAGCATTGTTTTGATCCTGTTGCACTGAAAATAGTTTGATCTGCATGCAAAATGGTCATACTGTATTTACAAGCCATTATTTCGTTTAGACAAGGGTTGGAACAAGCACAAATAATTCACAATTATCTATAAAAATACCACTGCCATTGCTGAATATAACTGAGGGAGGCACTACTATTAAGAACATTTCTAAAGTAAACTAGATTAAAGCTTCATAGCATTATTTTGCTCCGAATGTAGAGCTCCACTAGTGTTCTACTTGTTGAAGCTGTTCTCAGCAGCTGTAATATATCCAAAAAATACTAACCGTTGTATTTCTGCAGATGCTTCATTATATACAGAAAATTATTCTAATTTGAATATCAAAGAATCTCTTGAAATTGCTGTGTTGTGCCAGGGTCTGGGTATAAATCTTAGTTAAGACTATTAATATCACTGCTGATAATAATGCCTTCATTATGCCTAGGTATGGATAAAACATCTGGTGTCTACATCTACACTCTGAATCCCCTCACCCCTTGAGTTTCCCAGTTGTTGATTTTGTTTTAGGCAATTGAATTGCACCCTCTTTCATCACTTTATTAAGATTTTACTGATTCTACACTGCTAAATTCATTGTAACACACTTGTTAACTTGTTTGATAGTGGCCTTCAGTAGAAAATGCATTTGACAGAAAGCAATGTGTGGATTTGTTTTGTAAGGCTTAACTCTTGACTGTAAATTAATGTGGTGCATTTGCTTGACATTGCAAATGAACATTTATTTTGCTTAAAGCATGTTATTTATATTATGGTATTTTAATATTGATTATGCTTATGATCAAACTGACAATGGTTATAATAGACTGACATTCAATGCTTGGAATTGTAATATTATGTTTGAAGATATATGAAATATAAGTACTACTATTTTTGGTTGAGGAAAAAATGTTCTGCTTTTGAGGCATATTTATGATATAACTAACACATTTGTTGAAGAATATCTATTAATATCCTATACCGCCCAATGTATTTCATACTTGTAAATTAACACACAAACGCAATAAAAAGAAGAAACAAAAGAGCAACTTAACATTTAAACAGTAACATATTAGTAATGATAAGTTGGAGTTTTGAGCTGCTATGAGCTTCTTTTGCACTTGAACATAAATTATACAGAATGTCTCCTAATGCACAGCACTGAAACAAGCATGTTATATTTCCATTGATAGAGCCTGACATATCTAAAGTTGATATTTTTTCCTCCTGCAAGATGTCACCCAATTTTCTATTTTGTGATGTTTATAACCCATGTATAATAAACAGAAAATAAAGACTGACCTTTCTCTTTGCATTTCTCTTCTAGAGTAAACCATGCAGAGCCTTATATTCAGACATATCAAGCCTCTTGAGTAAACCATACAAATCACTACAACAATGATCATACAATGTGATAAATTGACTAAGTTGATGGACACACAATAACAACTTGGTATTTAGTGTTTCCCCTTTCTTTTTGTTGGTCTTACAATTAAGGACCAAATAAAGCACTAAGTATATGGGAAGTCTGTAGTTATTCACACTTCTATCAGATAGCTCTGAAGGACAGTCAAATTACTTGAAGACTGAATAAATTGCACATCCTCTTCTAACTGATGCATAGACAGACTGTAAATCAAATTAGCCATGGCACATTAAAGACCAACCTCTGCACTGCAAGCTAGAAATCCAGAAAGCCTACAGGCCATTAAACAGACCAAGACAATGCAGATAATCTTTTAAATGGTATATCAATATTATATACAAATGTTGATAGTGACTCGTAATTTGCCAACAGACACTATCCCATCACGATAGTGCATCACCCTGCAATATGCAGGTAAATGTGAGAAACCAGCACTATTTCTGCTGCTCCTAAACTAGACATCTCAATATTCTTATGTTAGACAGTGCTGTATCTTTGTTTTTCTATACAAATGGAGCTGGATGGAGAGAAAAACCTGGAGAAAAGCCATTTTGAAGAGTGTATATGAAATCATAGAACTTGAGCACCACCTATTGATGAAATCTAGACATTGCTAAAGTGGCAAATCAGAATAGTAAAATTACAGTATTTCATATTATTTGAAAACATAGTTTGTAGCTTATAGCCTACAAATCTGTTTTATTCATACTCATAATGAATTGAGAAATATTATATGACTAGATACACACTATATTTTCTCCAGGAGGTATCTTTGCCACTGTATGCCTATTATCCTAACATTTGAAAACAGATTGTTAATGAACTTCATAGACTGCAACTATGCCCAAATTGGAGTCCAGGGTCCCCTATGGGTCATTGAGGGGGTCCCAGGGGGGTTCTCAACAAGGTGGGGAGGAAATATTACATTTATTTCATACCCATATTTCACTCACAGTCAAGATTGCCTGTAGAACGCGTCAGGATAAATTATGATCATAGTTATTCTCTCAGTCATAGTTATGAAAGTAAATGTGTCTATTTTGTCAACTTGGAGGCGAAAGAAACACACACCTATTTAGGCGAGGTGCTGGCTAACAGAGTAGAACACTTGAAAAAGAAAAGAACAGAGAGAGATAATAAAGCCCTTAAATTGAAATTGAATTGAATTGAATTGAAAGAGAGAGGGAGAGAAAGAGAGAGAGAGAGAGAGAGAGAGAGAGAGAGAGAGAGAGAGAGAGAGAGAGAGAGAGAGAGAGAGGGAGAGAGAGAGAGAGATGGTAGACTAGAGAGAGAGAGATGGTAGACTAGACTAGGCAGCTGGCCCCTTTTATTTATTTGTGCAAGTAGTATGCATAGTTTGAACAGTAGGGATGCCTCCTACACATTTACAGTGGAAAAAAAATAAGTAACTGAGGTGGGCTTGATATAAATAAAGATTTTCTAGATTTTACTTCTCCAGCCTAAGCCTTGACATGAACATATTATGGACTCACCTCAACATAAATACTTTAAGAAATAAGGAGATAGTAATCTCATTAGTCAATGAATGGAGAAATGTATAACGACCAACCCAGCAGACTGTCGACCAATCGGGTCACGCTATTGCTAAACTAATCGTCACGAAATCCCTTGTAGAAAGACAGGGTATGAGTCGAGAAACAGCTTATTTTTCTCAAAAGTACGTATTGTCACGATTTCAAAATGATACGATATTACAAAGAACAAGTAAAATATCTCAGATCTCTGAAATTATTTGTAATGTTGTCCATGAATAATTGCATAATAACACAAGGCTACAACAACAATAAACTGAAGTTATAGGCTATTTATTACATTGGTTTGCCAGCTCCAGGTAGGCTACACAAGTGGCACAAATTGATTTGCAATGACTCCAGTGATATCGTCATTTCAACGTATTTATTGTATCAAATGGTAGCCTACAATGGCATATACATTAATAGGCTACTTGGTGGCCAACAGAGGCAAATGTATCATTCTCCACCTCTAGCCTAATGTCAGTTTCATTGAGGACTTTTCCCCATAAAAAGAACCACACGACAGAGTTCCATAACTTCCATTTCAAATTTCCACTCCGCAGCCCCCGAGACCCAAGAAAAAAGCATGCATAAAGCACTTTGCTTCATACCGTTTTCTTTAAGCAAAGTCAACATCAGAATGCAGTTTAAACCAACTCTGACCGCCCAAAGTCATTTTCCAGTGCTTTGTCCCTATTATTTATTGATGTGCATATTAATATGTTTTATGGAAAAAGGGTTGGAAACAGGTGTCTCCATAATGACAATCTAAATAGCCTACCTACAACTGGTAAAAGGTTGCCAAGACGTGCACGCGTGCTGCTCTCTCTACTCTGCTAACGTGACTCAGCCAATAGCTGTAGTGTTTGGGGGGTGATTCGAGCCAGAATTAAGCCTCGTGAAGCTACTGATACCTCTCACCAAGTCACCTAATGTCTTCCTAGGGCATTAAAATACCGCCATGAATTAACATGGACTGTCAATGGAGACAAGTTTTTTTCTAAGGCGTCAAACTGCCGACACGTTGACGTCACGCTCATGTCACGTGACATGTACAGTGCCTTGCAAAAGTATTCATCCCCCTTGGTGTTTTTCCTATTTTGTTGCATTACAACCTGTAATTTAAATGGATTTGCACG